ATTCTATATTGAATTGCCTATATTTATATATTATCATGTGGATATTTATATACACATTCACATGATTTTTATAAGATGCGTGCCGTGCGCCATGTAAAAGTGTTGGGCAAACAATTTGAAGATGAGTATCATCATCAATATCATCGTCATCATCATCAACATCATCGTCATCATCATCATCATCATCGTCATCATTACCTTCACCGCTAACATTTTCACCTTGACCTTTGTCATCATCATTATCATCGTCATCTTTCATAATTTACATTATTACCATCATTATAATATTTGTTATTATCGTCTTAGTTTTCGTCCTCATCATTATCATCCTCCTCATCATAGCAATTACCACCATCATCAAGATGACCACCATCTCGCAGACAACGTTATCATCATCATCATCACCAACATCCCCATTGTCCACCAAACAGCCAGCAGAATGTTTGCACAAACCACACGCACATACATAATGTATAAGATGACTCCAATCGATCCGTCCATCTCATGATACGACGTCTGGATGATGTTCTGTTCGTCATGTGACATCATCATGTGACGTCATCATACGTCATATTCATTGTCACATCCTAATCGTTTGCTCATTTTCATAGTCAGTGTTGTAATGGTTATAGTATTCAAGCCAACTTACGCACCCATACATACGTAAAGACACACGCATACATATATACATACACACATACATGTATTTATATACCTATAAATACTTAAATAAGTACATACATACTTACGTACATACACGTACACGCACACATACATTCATCACATTAATTTATATACATACAAAATATTTGTATGCCTGTGTGTGGGTACAAACAAGCAAACAATCAAACAAAATGATGGATGTGAAGTGTGATTGTTATGTTTGTGTGTGCTTGATGTATGTGTGATTAACTTAATTGATCATCACACAAGAGTTTACATACATTAACATCACATACAGGTGGATATTGTATGTGTGTGTGTGTGTGCGCGCGCGCGTGTGTTGTGTGTAAGTTTAAAGTACTCCCGTTAACTTTATAATGTTTTAATTTGTACGAATCTGATGGAAAAATATTAAAACCAACGTCAACTGACATCGAGATAGTCATTACCAGCAGCGAAAACAACAACAAAAACACGTCCACAAAGAACAACAAAAACAACCCACACCACACACGCACGCATGCACACACCAGACACAAGCACCACACACACAAACACCACCCACACACAGACAAGACCACACACGCACACAAACAAACATCACACAATAACAAAAATACAATTGAATAAAATGTTAACAATTCGTCGCGGTCCTCTTTGAAACATAAGTTAATTGTGCATTAACGCTCTATCTGCTGTTGTCTGTGTGCGCGCGCGTGCGTGAGTGTATGAGTGCGTGTGTGTGTGTGTGTGTGTGTGTGGATGTGATATGACCAACATTTGTATCAAAGCAAGATGTTAATAAATATCAGTTATGCAATTAATTGATGGTTATCTTCAGCCAACTAACATAAACCAATTATCAAACGAACTTACAAGCTAACGCTCACACACATACACTCCCACACACACACACACGCACACGCATACACACACGTACACCAGCCAACACGTGCACACACAAACATGCATACACGCATGTTTTTTATTATCAGTTTCCATGTTGTCACTTGTGACTTTCGAGTTTGCAACAGTAGTATCCATTTTTGTTTTCATTAACCAATTCTCGGAGAGAATCCAGCACTGTTGTCTGTTCACAATCCTCTGCCGATTTGAGACTTTTTCCATTGAACAAAGATTCATAAATGTTTTGATCACAACAACAACAACAATGATAATAATAAACAATAATAATAATAAAATAATTATAATAATAATAATAAAAAACGCAGGTGAAAATATTATACTTTCGAAACCTGATGTTACACACGACTGAGAGTACGCTGGAGTTGCTGTGCGCGGAAGTTCTCGGTAGGAACGATGCCCTGGAGAGGGTGAAGAAGCTGAAAGATTATGCCTTCGTGCATTTCAAGGAGAGGAAGGATGCTCTTCTTGTTATGGAGCAATTAAATGGTTGGTTGATTGGCTGGTTGATTGTTGGTTAGTTGGTTGGCTAGTTGATTGGTTGGTTGGTTAGTTTGATTGGTTGGTTGGTTAGTTTGATTGGTTGGTTGGTTGGTTAGTTAATTTGATTGGTTGGCTGGCTGGTTTGCCTAATATGAGATAATTGATAAGTTGAGAGTGAGGCCAGCAACGTGCAAATTTGAAGGTCGTAACGTCGATGGGGCTGACATTGAGATCGTCCTGTCAAAACCAGTGGAAAAGAAACCGGCCAGCAAGGAAGAACAAGCTGTACCCGCTCATCTCGGGGTTAGTTTTGATGATGATTGATGTTGCGTTGTGATGATGATGGTGGTGGTGATGGTGATGTTGGTGATGATGGTGAAACGACAGAAACCATGTTTACGATAAAAAAAATTTAACTTCTTCACACCATTCACTCTTTAGACTTCATTCATTCATTCAATCATTCATTCATTCATTCATTGTCTGTGTCAATCATCCAGTCATTTGACGCCGCAAAAACATTGTTCAAACATCATTTAATGTCTTATTGATGCCATTGTTCTCTTATTGGCTTATTGTTACCATTGTTCTTAATGTAATGTGGTCTATATAGTGCTGTATTCTCCACGTTGCTGCTTGTTGTTTATTGTTATTGTTGTTATCATTTATATTATTGTTGAATTTGATGATGATGATGACGAACGAAGTTTGTTTGTTTGTTTGTTTGTTTGTTTGTTTGTTTGTTTGTTTGATTGATTGATTGATTGATTGATTGATTGATTGATTGATTGAATGAATGAATGAATGAATGATTAAGTGAATGAATGAATGAATGAATGAATAAATGAATGAATGATTGATTAAGTATTCATTTTCTTTATTGATTGGCTCGTTACGAATGATTTACAAATTATGGTTAATTAATTAATTAATTAATTAATTAATTGATGAATGAACAAATGACACCGCTTGATCAATTGATTGACAGATTATGATTGAATGAATGCCTGATTGACATCATATGATTGATTGACTAATTACGATTGAATGACACGAGTAGTTGCACCTACATACGCTGTTGTGTCAAAAGAAGCGTAACTCGTTAACAACAACAACAACTACAACGACGACAATCTCACGCACTGAAAAGCACTGGTTGGCCTGCTGCCATTATAGTCATTTCTTCAGCGTCCTTTTTAGCATCACAGCATTAAAAATAACATCAAGAACGACAACAATATTTCTACAAGTTACTAATCAAAATACTTCTACCAATACTCCACTTATTTACTTATACATAATATGACAACAACAACAACTACTGCTGCTGCTGCTACTGCAGCTACTACTACTACTTCTATTGCTACTACTACTACTATCTACGAATACAAATTATTATTAATATTAACTGTAATATTATATAGGCACTAAAATGGGTTACCTCAACAAAATCAGCAAGCCTAACCTTTTATTGCATAACTTGAGAACAACATAGGAGAACAATTGATAACTTTGATAATAATAATATATAATAAATAATAATAGTTATATTTTTTAATTATTATTATTAATTGTGTTATAAATCATTAAGGATTACAGAAACTCAACAAACAAACATAAATATACACGTACACATAAACAAACGAACACACACAACAACGTACACATGCAAAGTCAATTGCAAACACACATCTTAACTTATATACATACACGCACACACAATTATATACATATATACGTTGATGTATATACATCTTTAAACACACAAAGCTTTAATCAGCTGTTTTATAAACATGCATAAACAAAATGAAGACATAAACACATACAGACAGACAGCCGGACAAACAGATCGTAAATATATGTAGACTAGCAACTTAAACCAAATTAATTAACAAAGAAGCTGCACATCTGAACATTTGCATATTAGGTGAACAGTAAAAAGACAGACACACAGACAGACAGACGGACAGACAACACAGTAGAAACCACGTAAGCATGCCAACAAGCAAGCAGGCAAGTATGCTTGCATGTAATGCAATGTAATGCATGCTTTAAGGCTGGCAGGCAGGTAAGGTAATTGAAACTTCTTTTACCTGCATATAACTCGGCGTAGTCTGCTCTGCTACACACTTTAATATTTTGCTATGAGAGCGCTCATACAAAAAACTTTTATGCAAACACACACACAAGTACGTACACACGTGTATGCGTATGCGTTATATAAGGGGTCGTATGATACACATATCTTTTGTATGAATGTATGCTTTGTATTGTGATGTGTGTGCGCGGTGAGGTAACTTGCAATGAAGCTTGTGTTAAGTTTGTTAATTCAATTACTTATGCATGCATGTATGAATGAATGAATGATGAATGAATGCATGGCATACCTTCTGTACCTGATGTAAAAATTCCGCTCGTTTATCATCTCTCTCTACCTCACTCACTCACTCTCTCTTCTCTCTCTTCTTCCTCTTCATCTTTATTCAATGTTTCTTCCTGAATTCTTCTCTTTTTTGGTATTTTATTTATTTTTTCTCTGCTGTGTACATGCATGTGCGTGTGTGTGCGTGCGTGCGTGTGTGAGAGAGCTTGCTGTCTCTTGCTAACAAAGCTATGTTTTCCTGTTTACATGTCTATCTGTGTGTGTGTGTGTGTGTGTGTGTGTGTGTGGTGTGTGTGTGTGTGTGTGTGTGTGTGATTTTTGTAATGTCGCATCCGATATTTTAGCTCCCGAAAGAAAAACTTCAACGAACATTTTGCAACAAATACAAAAAAAAACTGTTGTGAACAAGTAAAACACTACGAACGAACAAGCACTTATAAAACATTTTGCACATTGATACGATACATAGAAAAACATAATAATAAAAACATCTGAGCGACATGTAAGCAAGTGTTGTTGTTTTGTTGGTAGTTTCTCCGTGTTTTGCTCTCAATGTTCATTTCTTGGATATATGGATGGAGTCACGATGTTGATCTATTAACCTTTGATAATGTTTTGGACGCGTGTCATACGTCATCGATGGAGTGAGCTTGCTGTCTCTTGCTAACTAAGCTATCTTGTTCTATTTGCATGTTTGTCTGTCTGTGTCTGTGTTTGTGTCTGTGTCTGTCTGTGTGTGTGTGTGATTTTTGTAAATTTGTTTATACGTTTCTGTATGCGTGTATAAATGTACGTGTGTGTGCTTGCAAATCTGTGTCTGTGTGTGTGTAATTATTTATGTGTAGGAGTGTGTTAGAACAAGTTTTTGTGTTTGCGTTTGTGTGTTTGTGTGTATTTGTGAGCGTTTGTATGTCAACTTGTTTGCGTATCTAAGTTTAAATATCATGTAAACAAGTAACTTAAACTCTGTGTGTGTGTGCTTGTTTGTGTGTGTGTGTGTGTTTGTTTGTTTGTTTGTTGTTGTTTGTGATTTGCAGCTGTGCGTAGCTAGCTGTGTGTTAATTTTTTTATTTTTCAATGGCAATAACAATAAAAATAATTGCGCATTTGTTTTATTTCGAAATTAAAGATTTTTATGAAATATAATGAATATTAATACGTGTTGTTTGTTGTGCTTACGTTGCTTTGCTGCTGCTGTTGTTGTTATTGATGATGTTTTTGTTGTTGTTGTTGTTGATGTTGTTGTTGTTGATGATGTCATTTTTATCATTGGTATTTTTTTATTATTGATGTTATTGTTAGATTTCCATTGCTGCAATTGATGTTTGTTTGTTTTTGTTTTTACGACAACAACAACAACAACAATAATAATAATAATAACATTATTATTAATATTTATTTATATTTTTCACAGTTTTTCTTGCACGTTCAAACACGTTCACCTGTAGTTATTAATGAATTTAATGATGTTAAGTTACGTGTGCGTAACATAGATGCGTGTGCACGTGTTTATGTTTGTTTGTGTGTATGTATGTGTGTGTGTATGTATGTATGTGTATGTATGTGCACGTGTGTATGTCTGTTTGTGTGTGTGTATGTATATGTTTGTGTGTGTGTATGTATGTCTGTGTGTGTGTGTGTGTGTGTGTGTGTGTGTGTGTGTGTGTGGTGTGTTTGTTTGTGCGTGTTGTTTCATGATAAAGTTTGTGATGTTCTTTCCATGTGGCGAGCCTGTGGTTGGTGGATGGTTGTCGAATGAGTTTTATCATCATTTTAAGAATGGTATTCGTTTTGATGGTGAAGGTGATGATTGTAGAGATAAGATTTGGCGGTCATTAGAATGATGATGGTGGTGGTGATGGTAATCATGAAATTGATGTCGAAAATGATAATGATAATAATGAATGTGATAATATGAATGAATGAACGATTGATTGAATGAATGAATGAATGAATGTATGAATGAATGAATAAACAAAACAAAAATTAAATGAGACATCGATGACTGATGATGATGATGATGACGATGACCTTGACAACGGTAGCGACGATGATAATCATGATGATGATGATGATGACAGCGACGATAATGATGACTATAACGGTGATGATGATGGTGATGATGATGATGATGGTGATGATAATGAAGACATCCTAGTTCCAAAGGTTGAACAAATTTCAATTGCAAATAAGTTAACCATTTTAACTCCCTACAAAGACATACAAATAAATATATATATATATATACATACGAACACACACATATAAACAAACAAACATACATACATACATACATACATACATACATACATACATACATACATACATACATACATACATACATACATTTGATTTAATTTTGATTTGAAAATTACTTGGGACAGACCTTAACTAAAATTTTGTCCCAAAATTTTTACACGATGTAAACTTTGATGACAAATTTTTCATATATATGCGCGCGCACACACACCACACACACACACACCACACACATACACATAATTGCAAATAATGGAGATAAATTTCAAAAAATAAAAAGTCAAACTGAAGCATAAGCAGACATTTCAAGCGAGCAATTAACAAGCTTAAACAGTCAGCATTCAAATAAATGTGCCCGATTGGATGGATGGTTCTTCAGTAAAAAGATTCATTGGAATTTTAAGACAAATTCTATCACAAATTTGAAGATTTTTTTTAAATAATATTAGATTGTCTAGGTTTTTATGTTAGGAGGAATTATATTGTCTCAGATCTTAGAAGTGGTATGAGATAGACTGCCGTTGACAACTGATTTGGAAAAATTTTTTTAAAGAGAATTTTTCAACATTGCCATATTTAAACATGGAACGAACTTCCGATGTAGAGAATATTGGATAATGATCAGGCAGATGATAATGATCAGAATACTTACTCCGGAGGAGTGAGAAACGATGTTTGTCAAAATATTATCATTGTATAAATATATATAGTATGCTAGCTTATATAACATGTTTGCAACATACAAACATAACTGAACCTAATGCTGCTAATATTCAGTTTTCAAGTCAAACTAATTCTGCATATCCGAATAAAATAATCTCTTAGGCCGTTTGTTTAGTTTTGTTTTTGTTTGTTGAGAAATGCGTGTTTATGAGGTTGTATTTGGTGTATGTCGGTGTGTATGTGTGCGTGCGTGTGTATGTTTGCGCGTGTATGTGTGCGTGCGTGTGTGTATGTGTGCGTGCATGCGTGTGTGTTTCATATGGCCAGTCTACTTGTGTGAAATTTTTAAGGTGTAAACCTTGACAATTACATTTAAAAACAATCGCAAACATCATCATTATCTATTGTACCCTAACAATATTATCCTCCTTCTCATCATCAACATCATATCGTCGATATCATCATTACTAAAAATTTCCTCCTCTTCTTCATCATCTTCATCATCATCATCATCATTGACATCACCACTAGTGTTACATATGGCATAAAAATTTAGCTAAACTTAAAACAAGCACAATTTCAATTTTTACACGTTCCATTCAAAACATGCTTGTTTCCCTGCTCGCCAACAAACACTCATTCACACATTCTCTCCTTCATAAACAACTCGTTTCAACGACAATCACACACATTTTAGACACACATGCACAGAATCACACACATCCACACAATAGCACACATCTAAATTTATCCACAAACATTCACACACATATCCACACACTATTACCCAAATATCCACACAATTTAAGTTTGCACACATCTACACAAACACACCTCACACACACACATCTACACACATTTTCTCACATCCACACACATTCTCACACATACACACACATTCTCACACATACACACACACACAACCCACAACTGCAACGCTATTGAGAGCCGTTGATAATTGGAAGTCAGAAACATTAACATCATCCTTAGTAGCACCAACATAACATCAACTACAGTAACAACAGTCGCAACAACAACATCAACAACAGCAACATCAACAACAACAACATCAACAACAACAACATCAACAACAACATCATCAACAACAACAACAACTGTAGAAACCTCAACAGCCACAAACATGAGAAAGAAAACATAGCAAAACAACATCAGCATAATCAACAACATAAATAACAAGAGAATAATAAAAAAGAACAATCAAATTAACATAAAAAGCAATAAAAATAATAAAAACTAAACATAGTAAAAATCGTATAGGCGAAAGTTAACTATGCATTAATTCAGTTACCTATTCGAAACACAATCAAACCGATACTTGTGTATGTGTATGTGTACTGTGTAGGCATGTGTGTGTGTGTGTGTATGTGTGTGTACTGTTTTTGCATGTGTGTGTGTGTATGTATATATGTGTGTGTGTGTGTGCATATTATCGATACAAACATAAGTTAAAGAAGTTAATCTCATAGATAGAGAAACAACGACATTTGAGTTGACATTTTAAAATAATCATTTCCATTGTATAACTGTCATTTTAAAAATTAATTAAATACTCTTCATTATGTAGACACACACACCCCACACACACTCACACACACACACACACACGACAGAGCGTGTTTGTGACTCCAGGCGGATACATAGCGGGTGGTACCATACTCATCCCACCTGGATACGACGCTGGTTTGAAGTAAGAAATTTTTTATTTTTCCATTTTTTTTAGTTTAGGTTTTTATGGTTTTTAATAATTTTTGTTTGTTTGTAGATTTTGTG